TGGGACCTCCGCTTTTTTCCCCAACACATTTATAAACGTGCGTTTCGAGTATTTGGCTGCAATACATTTCCACTTGATATGCCTTATCTAGCGCAGTGGGCTTTACCAGGTAAAAGAAAATACATATTTAGCTTACAGTTTTATTAATTTATAGACTTCCTTTTCAAGTCCAGGCTCAAGACCTGAAATGTATTTCCTCTGCCAGTGACTGACTGCCTCCCTTAGGATCAAACAAACGTGTATGCCCACCTTCTCTGCACAAGTACTTGAGATGCAGTGGTATTTAGTCCCTACATTAATCCACATTGTACCCGTGTTATTGTATTGCAATAGGTTAACATTGCAAGCAACAGCCAGTCCTTCAGAGCAATGAGAGAGGAGGGGGCCATTCATTCCCTGAGACATTTTTACTCTGCCGTGTATTTTTTCCCGTTGGATACGTTTTTTTCTCTCTCTCGAGATACCCATGACCTGAAACGTCACTATGTTGTGTAACTGTGAGGGGGGTTGCATCTCAAAGTCTCTCACACATGGCCATGAGTTCCCCGGTATATTGCCTGCCGTAAATAATCGCGATGTGTGAAGAATATAAAAAAAACTCAATAGATAAGCAGACGATGCATCTCCTTAACATATCTGCCTCTCCGCTTCAAAAGTAGATATATGCAGTATTGCTCTTTGTTTTTTTCGGTAAAGTCACGTAGTTAAAAAAAATCAATCCTTGCAGTCACGAAAGCTTCAAATCTAGAAATATATGCGGTATTGTTTTTTTACATAACCGATCGGTGCCACGGACTTCTGGTAGTGTAGACTTTTAGTAGCCATTGGTTCAGTCCAAGTAACCTTTTAGTTTGCTCGTGAAAGTTTGCTTGTGCTGAATCAAATGACGCACTCCCAGTGATGGGATGTGTAAAGAAGAATACTGTTCGCGAGCACCTGTGAAGGCCAAACAATCAACCGCAGAAGGCCGCTGGGCCGATGGATTGTGGAAATAATATATTTTTGATCATGCGGAGAGTCAGCTATTAAGCACTATTAAACTTTTCTTTTTAATTTTATCAGGTAAGGCCCACTGAGCTATATAGCTCATTTTCAGAAGCGATATTGCTCAACAAAGTGGCTTGTCACGTGGAAATTTATAGCAGACAAATACTACTAAATGCACGTCTCTAAATGTGGAGTGGAAAAGCTGAGGACCCAGAGAAAAGTCCACACGACCACGGGGAAAACATGTAAACTTCATGGGTCGGCATCCAACCCATGACCTCCTGTATACGAGGCGAGGTAGTTCACATCTCCCCAACTTGGCTGCCTATGTGAAGGAATGAGACGTTGTCTGCTTTTCTCAACACTTACCACGGTGTCGATGACAAGGGCTTTGATGCATGCACCGAGTCGGAGTAGCACAATTTTCACCGTTAAGATACGATATTACTTATCGGGGGTTATGAACATTATGGCGGTGTAATGTTCTCATAACTTTGTAATCATATTTCACATTCTTATCGTCTCGATTTCGTGGTCTAGTCTTGTTCAAAGTTCTTCAGTTGCAGTTCGCTCACTTCAACATTAAGCCATGGAGTCTTCTAATCATTGCAACTTTACGATATACAGCGTCACACGTACAATGCACACCCTATCATAAAATGACGATGTCATGTACCTGTCATCCTATCAATTACCCCAGAGGATATGCGAGTTAATGTGCAAAGGGGTAGACTGTGTCTATATAATTAAGAACCCTAATTATTATAATACACTTTTATTATTCGTGTAATCCCCTTCATTTTTTTTTGTCAGGAAATGAAATTTCAAGAAAAATAAATTGACCAGCCACAAATCGCGATATGATGATAGTTTTTCATCACAGACAAGTGGACCTTACAGAGCCTTATAGAACAAATTCCGGTTGATTTGGTTTAACCATGCAGTGGAGAACGCTCGTCATTTGCACGCGTGACCTGGGTCACTACAATGGCAGAAGCAAAAATACAAAAAGTATATCAGTGAAGTCTTCTCTGTCTGCGTATGGCTGGGGAAGCAGTTATAGTTTGACGTTAAGTTTAGCGTCCATTCATATGTACGTATGTAAGTGCTGGTACCATAGTACTGGCACCATAGTCTTGCACCTCTGATTAGCATGGTTTGCTATGTACGGTGCGAAAGAAGCCCAACATACATGTATGTATGTATGTTCAACATACATGTATGTATGTTCAACTGTTGAACTTGTGGGGAGCGGTGGTGTAGCGGTTAGCGCGCTGCGCTACGAACCTGGCGACCCGAGTTCGATTCCCACTAGCGGCCACCAACACCAGTAACGATTATCTGAACCGGTCGTGGGCCTCCCCTAGGTCGACTCAGCCTCAAACGAGTACCTGATGCGGTGCATAAACATCGCCACTCGGGAGGCAAAGGCGGCCGGGCGTGGTGTTGACCACCCACCCCCTTGTGTGTCGTGCCGGCACTTGCCCCAACAGTCTGTTAAGGCTATACGGGGGTTTTTTTTAATGTGTGTTGAACTTCTTTGTTGAGGCAGTGTGAATGCTCGTGATGACACCGGGAAATGGACCTCTCAGGGCAGTAGTTCAACAAAGTAAAGCTATCAGAACCGAAACAAGCAAACAAGTTTCACAGGAGAAAATCGGAATATCGACACAAAGCGCCAGGCCGAGTTTGACCTCCGCGTGCCGTGGGTCGCCTCTCTGGCCGTTTTGAGTAGCTGGCATCCCTGCGTTAATTGAAACCACAGAACCATACTTTTCATAACTCGTCCAGCAGCAGGAAGTAACGACGGAGTGCTCGTTCACTCAGCGGTGACTTTGTGGTATGCAAATTATGTACCGGGAAACGTTGCACGGTTACTACTGCGGAAGACGCTAATCGGTTTCCATCAGGAGGCCGCGACAACAAATGGTGGACAACTTTGCATGTATATATATTTTTTACATATATGTTGAACTTCTTTCGCACGGAACGCAGCCCGCCGTGCTGATCGGAGGTGCGGGGGGAAGGACAACGAACTAAACACAAAAAGCAGTTCTAAAGAAATTAGTTTTCAATCGAGATGATTTAAATAGCTCCAGTGGCTTCCTAATATCGGAAGGAAGAGCGTTCCAGACGGCCGCAGAAGCCCATCAGAACGTGCGCGATGTGGTGACCGTCTTTGTTCAATGGCTTGCCAAAAGCCGCTGCGAGGAATTATGGTTCATTTGAATCGGAATTTAACACGTGGTGTTCATGTATGCTAGCAATGTTGCCGCGGTGTATGTACGTGGAACTTCTTTCGCACCGTGCGTAGCCAACCGTGCCACCGGTCCTCTCGTGCAGTAGTCGAATACGTGGGGAAGATTTGTTACATGTACCCAGCACCCTGCACATCGAGCTTCAACATCGAGCTCCAGACTTGCGTCGTAGTCCGATGACAAATCCACAAAGGCCGTGCCGGTCTCGGATTTTTCTCTGGAATCTGGCCTCAATGTGCGTCCCAAGGGCCAAAACTTGGTCACATCAACTGCGTCCAGGCTGGAATTCGGCTTTGTCTTCAGGGATCACTGAATGGACGAGGGGCTGTGGCGGGGTGAAGCGTGGGTATTCCCCCTTGCTTCCGAGATGCGTGGCCAGCGTGGAAGATTTCGGCCAACATGGCCCTCTCGCGAGCTCCACTGGGTCTCGGGCACAATCCCCTCTCACTTGATACAGCTATCGTGCTGTGACGGTTTCCACCTGAAGACGGAAGCTTGTGTTGCCTCCGAAACGTCGTGATTTTTATTTTATTTTTATTTTACTTTAATTAATTTTAATTTTTTACCTACGTGACTTTACCGAAAAAACCTAAGAATATGAATCCTTGCAGTCACTGAAAGCTTCAACTCTAGAATCTAAAACAATCCCAGGTGTGCCCCGATATGTTCGGATGAATCAACAGAGAATGAAATAAAAATAATAACACGTGCATAGAAACTCAGACATCAACATAAAACAGGCAAATAGACACACAAACACATAGACGTGGACATATATATACACACCGTTAACCACACAGATACGCACACATCGACATAACCAGTGAAATAGACGAGACGCATAGACACTGAAACGAAAACAGTAGAGAGAGACACAGAAATTCGAATAAAACCGTGACATCGACGGAAGAACAGACGGACATCCTGACAAACAATGGCCAATTGAACACACACACAGACGGATGGACGGACACACAAAAACACACAACTGCCCCCCCCCCCCCTTAGTTAGTTGGCTAAACCGAGTGCCCCCCTGGGGGTGAGTAAATAAACCTGAGCCTCCCGCGTCTTTCGGTTCTTATTGAATCGCAAAGAGGCCCCGGGGAGCGAGGGAGGAAAGTACGGGGGAGGGGGTGGGGGGAGAGAACTCGTCTGGACGATGGAAGGGGGGGGGCCAGTGATTTTTTTTGGTTAGGTGCGGCCGCGTAGCTCGTCTGTGCCGTGGCGTGCAACAGGTTGATGGAGCAACGGTCTAGTGGAGGCCCTTCCGTCAGCAGTGGCGTCAGCCAGCCATTGCAGGGGCTGCACCTTTAGCTCTTTAGATAGGCCGGCGGTGGTGGCTATGATGCACGTGGCCTGTAAACCAGCACTGCGGAGGCAGCGAGTGTTGTTGGATCACCGCACAAATGCCGTGAAACTCCCTTGTATGTTGAACTTCTTCCGCACCATAACGTAGCCACTAACCGTGTTAATCGGAGGTGCGGATCAAGGACAACAAACCCTTCGAGGCGCCATACTCTCGCTCGCCAGGGGAAGGCAGTGCAGCAAGTGGACTAATCGCCATCTGTTTCCATCTGTGCGGGGATAGAGTGTTTCCCCCTCACTCGCGTGGGTTTTCTCCCGAACGCTGCGGTTCGCTCCCACTTCAGGACCTTCCTGAAAGAGGCCCACGCGTACTCAGCGTGACATTCCCGGATCAATAAGTGAAAATAAAACAACTAAGTAAATATGTGTTGCTTCTTTTGTCTCGTGCAGTGCTGGACCCAAACCAAACCGCCCGCCACCCCCTCATCCTCGCTGTGGTGGCCCCGACTGAAAACGTAAATCCGTAACCTCTGAACATCTCATCCGCACCGTGCCAAGGTGCCACGAGGAGGGCCCCCCCCCCCCTTTTACACACCTCGTCGATCATCTGTTATCCCTACAGGTGACGTCTGCACACAGCACAGTTAAATATTTTACCCCGTTAAATATTTATTGCTGACACAGACTCGCCTTTCTCGCTCGGGTTTTCCCCCATTGGCGTGAAAACGGATCTATTTTGGTTTCCTTGTTAATTCTGTTTGTCAAAGCGAAGAGAGTAATTAGCCCGAGGGAGACCTTTAGACTGGCGTGATTTTTGGCTCTTAAACTCGCTGGGTTTTTTTTTACTCGGTTCCTGCGCTGGAGGTCACGTGCCCTGCGTGGCATCTGGATATTTTTGTTTTACATTCCAGCCGCCGCAACTCTTCTTCCTGTCAACAGTAAAACAAGATCTGACCTGTGCCCGTGCAGTGATCGCTGAGCTGCATTGGGCTTTATGGTTTTCCCGAACAAATGCATTTTAACACGCAAACTCCAAATATACAGCAGCAGCCATCAGGGTCAGGATCGGATCCACAACCTCTTGCACACCAGGCGAGGGAGATAACATCTCAGGCAACCGAAAACAGACGCGCGGTCTTACAGGCAGGCGATCTTGTAGTTGACCCCGCCGGCCAGTGAGCAGAGGGAGCAGAGGGAGCGGAGGGAGGGAGGGTGGGAATCTCGCAGAGCTTGACAGGCTTTGAGGAGGGCGCGGACGAAATGACCTCGCCACCGTTGGAGTTGCTCGAGGTTGCGCGATGAACACATCGAACAAGGACGGAGTTTGCAAATAGTCGATGCGAGACCCGACTCTGCTGCAGGCGAGGGAGTTGGTGATCTCGTTGACGATGAGTGGATGGAGACTGACGTGGAAAGCCCCGAGGTGGTGGTTGCGAGATGTGATGATGTGGTGGGTGCGGCAGTCGATGGATGATACTAATAAACAGACCAAAATTCTCGAGCGCGATTCGGAGGCACGGAGCCTGCCTCTCGGTGTTACTCGGACGGCTCCACCGGACCAGGTAAACACCGTCTCTGGGTGCCTTTTTTTTACGGTCGAAGGTGACTCGCTGCCGAGTATGAGATGGGGGTGGGATAGAATCCCAGCAGGCAAGAGTTGCTGTGGAGAACCGACAATCGGCAAGCCACGCTCCTTGATTTGGCTATTACGAGCAGGTTGAGGCGACTCTGTGGGGTTTGGCAGGGAAGGGTTTGTTCAACTTTTGACCAGGTGAGACCCACTATATATTTTTCATGAGCGACCTGGCCACAAATGATAGCTCAACGAAGCGGCTCGTCACGCGGAAATTTGGAGCTGCCAAATACTCTAAACGCGTGTTGATTCTAAGTGTGGAAGGAAAAACAGAAAGATCCGGGGAGACATACACGCACACTCCAAATATACAGGCATCAGGGGTCGGGATCGAACCCACGACCTCTTGCATGCCAGGCGAGGTAGTTAACATCTCGAGTAATGACGCCAGGTGCGACGGCAGGCCTAGAGTAGAGGGCGCGGTGGCACAGAATTGCGGTCACCTTGCGATCGATCCGGGCAGAGACAGGGAGCCAGTGGAGAGATTTCAGTGCGGTGGAGGAGTCTGTGTGTCCGCACCCGTTAAAACAAAGGCGGAGCGCAACAAGTCGATAAGATCCGGCGGAGTCGAGAGTGGCGCTGAGGAACTTAATGTGGTCGCGGAAATGGAAGGTGGAGCCCAGTGATTAAAATATATGTATGTTGAACTTCTTTCGCCCAGTACGTAGCCAACCGCACCCATCGGAGGTGCGGGTGAAGCACGACAAACCAAACACAAAAAGCAGTTTGAAAGAAATCAGTTTTCAATCTAGATGATGATTTAAAAGTGCATAGCTCCAGCGGCTTCCTAATATTGGAAGGAAGAGCGTTCCAGACGGCCGCAGAAGCGCGTCTGAAAGCACCGCGACGATGCGGTGACCGCCTTTGTTCGATGGCGAGCCAAAAGCCGCCGCCGCTGCTGCTGCGAGGATGACCGCAGTTCGCGTGATGGTGGTTTATGCTCCTTGACGCTTCACTACCACCGCTCCGCTCCCCCTGTGCAGACATGGTGAAGCCGCTGGCTGTCTGGGGCCGATCAGGATGCTTTCGTATTTTGGAACCTTTCCAGGAGAGAAAAATCGTGGGGCACAGAAGCACTGCTGCAAAAGGCGTCCGAGGGTGCACTCCGTGTTGAGCATCTCGAGTTACCGGGACGTGGTTATTCGCAGGGGGAGATGTTTTGCCACGGGCTGCCTAGACGTCACAACTTTTATTTCCTTGAGCGCGACAAATAATAAAAGGCGCGTTCCTCTTTTTTTTGGTCGACATTTTTTATTTGCTTGAATTTTTTTTTGGCACCAACTCGCCTTGCGTAAATAAATAACGCGTGGCGGTGGAGCAGTTCGGTTCAGTTTCAGTTCATTCATTTGGTATAGCCCTGTGAGCCATTTGGCTCTTGAATCGGGTGCAACTGCAACAAACAAAAAGATGAACAAGAAACATCTTAAAGTGACTACGCAGACTTGCCCTGGCCTGCTACCGTCTCCGAACGACCACCGCCCCCACGTAACTCGCTCGCCGGGGATGTCAACCCCGGACGCCGCGAGCAGAGGTCGCAAACGGGTTTTGATTCCTTACCCGTACCCGTACCCAGCCGCACCAGGGTCGCAAACGGGTACCCGTACCCGTACCCGGCCGTAACCGTACCCTAACCGTACCTGGCCGGGTACGGGTAGGGTACGGGTATCAGTTACCCGATTGCGACCTCTGGGATGAAGCCATGTTGCAGGCGCGGGTGGGTTGATTCTAGGAACTTGAATTGTGAGAAGAGACAAGACGTTGGGAAATGAGTGACAAACGGTGACTCACCAGTGACTCATGGTCTACCCGTACCCGGCCGCACCAGGGTCGCAAACGGGTACCCGTACCCGGCCGGGTACGGGTAGCCGGGTATCGGGTAGGGTACGGGTATCGGGCACCCGGTTGCGACCTCTGGTCGCGAGACACGGCCCACGGTCGTGACCCACGGACAGATCGCCGCGTCTCCAACTCGAGAAGTCGTGAAACGCGCGCACCGAGTCGAATCGGGATTTTTGTGGCCGACATTACCCCACCGTGGCAGGCTGCATTCCAACGGTGCAGGTCGTGCGCGTCCTTACATACACAACTCATTGTTGGGGAGTTTATTGGGTCGGCTGAGCATTTAATTTTTAAACAAACACGGCTTGCGGTGGGGACAAGAGGAGGGTGGGCGAGGTACGGGATGGCTTTTCCTGTGTCAGAAGCCGCGGCCACGAACCCGGCCACCCGCGTTCGATTCCCGCTCACGGCCAACACCGGTCACGGTTATCTAAACCGGTGCTGGGCCTCCCCCTAGGTCGACTCAGCCTCAAATGAGTGCCTGGTGCGGTGTGTCAAACATTCACCACTGGGGGAGACAAAGGCGGCCGGGCGTGGTGTTGGCCACCCACCCCCTCGTGTGCCGTGCCGGCCTTCATAGGTGTCCGCTAACAGCCAAGTTTGTTAAAAAGGCTACACAGGGGACCTTTGTCTTTGGTGGGAGGTCTCACGCGGCTAACAAGGTGTGTGTCATGGTGACGCTGGGTCCGAGGGTCACGGGCGTGGGAGGGGAATGTCACATACATAATATTTTTAACGGCGTACTTATTAGAACTCTCCGTGATTGTTCGCAGTGGTTAGGTCAGCTCACATTGGCCACGTACGTTTGTATTTTGAACTTCTTTCGCACCGTACGTAGCCTACCGTGCTAAACAGAGGTGCGGGGGAAAGACAACAAACTATGGTTAACTGTGCGAGTCTATGGATTTCTGTGTGAGTCTGTGGATTTCTGTGTGAGTCTGTGGGTCTCTGTGTGAGTCTGTAGGTCTCTGTGTGAGTCTATGATTATCTGTGTGAGTCTATGGATTTCTGTGTGAGTCTATGGATCTCTGTGTGAGTCTGTAAGTCTGTAGGTCTCTGTGTGAGTCTATGGTTATCTGTGTGAGTCTATGGATCTGTGTGAGTCTGTGGATTTCTGTGTGAGTCTGTGGGTCTCTGTGTGAGTCTATGGATCTATGTGTGAGTCTGCAGGTCTCTGTGTGAGTCTATGGTTATCTGTGTGAGTCTGTGGGTCTCTGTGTGAGTCTGTGGATTTCTGTGTGAGTCTGTGGGTCTCTGTGTGAGTCTATGGTTATCTGTGTGAGTCTATGGATCTCTGTGTGAGTCTGTGGGTCTCTGTGTGAGTCTATGGATTTCTGTGTGAGTCTATGGATCTCTGTGTGAGACTGTGAGTCTCTGTGTGAGGTTATGGTTCTCTGTGTGAGTCTATGGATCTCTGTGTGAGTCTGTGGGTCTCTGTGTGAGTCTATGGATCTCTGTGAGGCTGTGGAGCTCTGTGTGAGTCTATGAATCTCTGTATGAGTCTGTGGTTTCTGTGTGAGTCTATGGATCTCTGTGTGAATCTGTGGATCTCTGTGTGAGTCTATGGATCTCTGTGTGGGTGTGGGTGTGTGGGTCTCTGTGTGAGTCTATGAGTCTCTGTGTGAGTCTGTGGATTTCTGTTGTGAGTCTATGGATCTCTGTGTGAGTCTGTGGGTCTCTGTGTGAGTCTATGGTTATCTGTGTGAGTCTATGGATTTCTGTGTGAGTCTATGGATCTCTGTGTGAGACTGTGAGTCTCTGTGTGAGGTTATGGTTCTCTGTGTGAGTCTATGGATCTCTGTGTGAGTCTGTGGGTCTCTGTGTGAGTCTATGGATCTCTGTGAGGCTGTGGAGCTCTGTGTGAGTCTATGAATCTCTGTATGAGTCTGTGGTTTCTGTGTGAGTCTATGGATCTCTGTGTGAATCTGTGGATCTGTGTGAGTCTATGGATCTCTGTGTGGGTGTGGGTGTGTGGGTCTCTGTGTGAGTCTATGAGTCTCTGTGTGAGTCTGTGGATTTCTGTTGTGAGTCTATGGATCTCTGTGTGAGTCTGTGGGTCTCTGTGTGAGTCTATGAGTCTCTGTGTGAGTTTGTGGATTTCTATTGTGAGTCTATGGATCTCTGTGTGAGTCTGTGGGTCTCTGTGCGAGTCTATGGGTCTCTGTGGTGTGAGTCTATGGATCTCTGTGTGAGTCTGTGGGTCTCTGTGCGAGTCTATGGGTCTCTGTGGTGTGAGTCTATGGATCTCTGTGTGAGTCTGTGGGTCTCTGTGCGAGTCTATGGGTCTCTGTGGTGTGAGTCCATGGATCTCTGTGTGAGTCTGTGGGTCTCTGTGCGAGTCTATGGGTCTCTGTGGTGTGAGTCTATGGATCTCTGTGTGAGTCTGTGGGTCTCTGTGCGAGTCTATGGGTCTCTGTGGTGTGAGTCTATGGATCTTTGTGTGAGTCTGTGGGTCTCTGTGCGAGTCTATGGGTCTCTGTGGTGTGAGTCTATGGATCTCTGTGTGAGTCTATGGATCTCTGTGTGAGTCTGTGGGTCTCTGTGGTGTGAGTCTATGGATCTCTGTGTGAGTCTATGGATCTATGTGTGAGTCTGTGGGTCTCTGTGCGAGTCTATGGGTCTCTGTGGTGTGAGTCTATGGATCTCTGTGTGAGTCTGTGGGTCTCTGTGCGAGTCTATGGGTCTCTGTGGTGTGAGTCTATGGATCTCTGTGTGAGTCTGTGGGTCTCTGTGCGAGTCTATGGGTCTCTGTGGTGTGAGTCTATGGATCTCTGTGTGAGTCTGTGGGTCTCTGTGCGAGTCTATGGGTCTCTGTGGTGTGAGTCTATGGATCTCTGTGTGAGTCTGTGGGTCTCTGTGCGAGTCTATGGGTCTCTGTGGTGTGAGTCTATGGATCTCTGTGTGAGTCTGTGGGTCTCTGTGGTGTGAGTCTATGGATATCTGTGTGAGTCTATGGGTCTCTGTGGTGTGAGTCTATGGATCTCTGTGTGAGTCTGTGGGTCTCTGTGGTGTGAGTCTATGGATCTCTGTGTGAGTCTATGGATCTCTGTGTGAGTCTGTGGGTCTCTGTGCGAGTCTATGGGTCTCTGTGGTGTGAGTCTATGGATCTCTGTGTGAGTCTATGGATCTCTGTGTGAGTCTGTGGGTCTCTGTGCGAGTCTATGGGTCTCTGTGGTGTGAGTCTATGGATCTCTGTGTGAGTCTGTGGGTCTCTGTGTGAGTCTGTGGGTCTCTGTGCGAGTCTATGGGTCTCTGTGGTGTGAGTCTATGGATCTCTGTGTGAGTCTGTGGGTCTCTGTGTGAGTCTATGTTTGTATGTTGAACTTCTTTCGCACCTGGACGTAGCCAACCATGCTAATCAGAGGTGCGGAGGGGGGGGGGGAGGTCGCAGTGTGTGTTGTATGAGACGCATGTGTCCACGTTGTCCTCCGATCGCTGTGCGTTTACATTCTGTGCCGATGTCTGTCGCGTACAGGAGGAGCGCGCGAGGTCTTGCTCCCGAGGAGCAGAGCTCTGTTGACCCGCTGCCACGATGGAATACAGTTTGCCCGACGCCGATTACGACGATGAGGAAGACGATGACGATGGCGGTGACGGCAACGTCCCTGGCGGGAGGGATTACGGATCGGACCTCTCCGCCGCGGGCTGGTGAGAAAACCGGCTCCTGCCGTCTTGGAGGAGCTATCAAATTAATGTAGCTGCTTGCGTGCGTGCGTGCGTGTGTTTGTGCCGACCTTCATAAGTGCTCGCTAACAGCACTTACCCCAAAAGTCTGTAAAGGCTATATGGGTGATCTTTGTCTTGTGTAAATATCTGCGTTGTACGTGCGCGCGTGTGTGTGTGTGCGTCTGGGGAGCTGTGCTGCGAACCCGGCGACCCCGCTCACGGCAAACCAACCCTAGGGATGATGACACTGGTCAACAAAAAAAAAAAATTCTGGCCTGGACTTTTGCAGCTGTTTTAGGCTAATTCCAGGGTGCTGATTCCAAATGAGATCTCAGATTTGCTCTATCACATCATTTTTATGCTATCGGCATATCCCATTTTCATTGATTTTACTCGAAATTAACTCTGTCACTTATGATTTCAAGTTGTTGCGTGTCAGTGACTGCTTTAGTGTTAAAATATGGTGCTGTATTTTTAGGATAGTGTGTTTATAATATCATTTTATGTAGATATCCACATTTATTTAATATTTTTCATCTGCAGTTTTTATTGAAAATGCAATATTTGATATCTCAAAAACCTGATGTGATAGACAAACACTGATGCCAGATGTGGAATCAGGACCCCAACATTACCTTAAAACCGTTGGAATACCTTATGCCAGAAAAAGTGTATTGACCAGTGTTATTTGAACCAGCCGTGGGCCTCCCCTGGGTCGACTCAAACGAGCACTTGGTGCAGCGTGTAAACATCAGTCACGGGAGAAACAAAGACGGCCGAGTACGGTGCTAGCCACCCCCCCCCCCTCGCATGCCGTACCGACTATTCTATGTGCTCGCTAATAGTACTTGCCCCAACAGTCTACCAAGGCTATACGGGGGATCTTTGTCCTGGGGACCAGTCACGTCGTGGTTAACGCACACGGCCAACACCGGTGAACAATATCTCAACTGGTCCTGGGCCTCTGCCAGGTCGACTCAGCCTTAAATGAGTACCTGGCCACGGTGTGTAAACAACAGCATTCCGAACACAGGAAACTGCCGCCCAGCCCATAGTGGGCTGTGCCGGCCTTAATAGTTGCTCGCAAAGAGCCCTTTCCTCAAACAGTGTATGTAGGCTATATGAGGGGCCTTTGTCTTTGTGTGTTTTTTGCACTGGCCACATCACCCTCTTACGTGTGTGTGTGTAACCTCGCAAGCGCTCACTAATGATCACGTAGCCCAACATTCTTTACACTGCCGGGGATCTTTGACTGTCTGCGTGTGCACGTGAGCGTACGGGGAGCGGCAGCTACGAAGCCACCCGACACCAGTGACGATTATCTGAACGGGTTCCTGGGCCTCCGCTAGGTCGACTCAGCCTCAACCTCAAATGAGTTGCTGTGGTGCGGTGTGTAAACATCGCCACTGATGAGACAAAGGTAGCCGGGCGTGTTTCTGGCCCCCCCTCCCCGCCTCGTGTGTCAGTGCAGGCCTTCATAGGATGCTCGCTAACAGCACTTGCTCCTGCAGTCTGTGAAGGCTACACGGGGGGGATCTTTGCCTTTTTGTGCTCGAAGGTGCCTTGTGCGTACAATTCTTGTGCCACTATTGTTCCTGCCACTTTGCGCAACTCTGCTGCCTCGTCGTGATTTTCTAACTCTTTCCGTTGATGTCAGAGGAATTCGCCCTGCGTTCAGGACCCGCATAACGTGGTGCAGGGTGAGGGGTGTGTGGGGGAAGGGGCACCCTCATCCAGCAGTGGATTGACAAAACGGGTTGTACACGTGTGTATACCTTTAGGGTTATTGGAGAGAACGAAATTGTACGACGGACGGAAAACGCGCAGAGCGTGAGGTTCGAAAAACGAGAAACAATACAAACGAGAGGGTGAAAATGAGACTTTAATTAGTTAATTATATCACGGCCCTGAATATTGACACTTCGTTACATCAGTGCGGAGGTGGGGGGGGGGCCGAGCCGTTCTCACAACTTGCAACCAAGTCACCGATATTGTTGGGAAGGAAGTAAAACAAAAAACTACAAACGAAAAATTCTGAAATCTCCCCGGGCTCGACCGTCGAATGAATCATTCTACAAGTCGTTACGTCAAAGTTCTCGTCTCCGGCGGACGCGGCGCGACTCGCGCGATCTCCGGTACAGACTCGCGTGACATTCACGCCCGGCCACTCTATTTTTAAACCGACGTTGGGTGATGCTGTCACGTGCGTGTGTGTGTGTGCGGTGTGTGTGTGCGGTGTGTGTGTGTGTACGGTGTGTCTGTGCGGTGTGTGTGTGCGGTGTGTGTGTGTGCGGTGTGTGTGCGGTGTGTGTGTGCGGTGTGTGTGTGTGCGCGGTGTGTGTATGCGCGGTGTGTGTGCGGTGTGCGGTGTGTGTGTGCGGTGTGTGCGTGTGCGGTGTGTGTGTGCGCGGTGTGTGTGCGGTGTGTGTGTGCGGTGTGTGTGTGCGGTGTGTGTGTGTGCGGTGTGTGTGTGCAGTGTGTGTGTGCGTGCGGTGTGTATGTGTGCGGTGTGTATGTGTGTTGTGTCACACCCCCCACCACCCTCTGTCCGGGATGGCCCCCGGCTCCACCTGGTTCCCCCGTGGTTGCTGAGCGCTGAAGCTCCAGTTTCCTCCACCGCCGACTTCTTTGCGTGCCTACTTGCTCCGTTCACGCCCCGGCCCCCGCCCCCCGCCCTTGTCTTCATCGTTATCGCGGTAGATATGCGGAATGGCCTCCAGCAAGAGGCGGTGTTCCACGCGTGTTTTTTGTTTTCCCCATTGAAGGCCGGATTGTGCAACCTCCTGTCAGCCAAGCGAGCGGCTCAGAGTCTCCGAACTTGGCTCGCGTGCAACTGAACCTGTTCGTCTGTGATCGGTTGCGCAACCTGTTGCATTCGACTCGGCGATTCGTAGCGACGCAAGCCGTCACGCATTCGTGAGCTGTGACGCAGTCGTTCTGATCCCGTTGCGTCATTGATTTCTCGAATGTGGATAAAGCAGTCACGTGCGATGATAACGTTGAGCTATGTCAAGAGCGGGTTACAGTTGCGTCACCGATTGTGCAGGCATGTGCCTGGACTAATGGGTAAATAGCAACGAGAGAGAGAGAGATCGGAAATGAATTCAGAACAGAAATGTATGAGAGACACAGAAGATGTATCGACGAAGGGAGGTGTATTCACAGTGGTAACACTCGTGACCCGAATGGGCCTGGGTTCGTTCCTGACTTGGTCGCCTTGATAATACAGTTTTTTTTTGGGTTAGATCGTGTAAATAAATAAATGTGTCGTTAAACCCGCCACCACCCGACGCAGCCAATTAGTAAGGTTTGTCACGTAAACAGAACGTGCCCAATTCGTTACTAGTGCAGTACACCGGTTGTGTGTTGGAGAGTAAACCCCCAACGTTTACAATTCGAGTACGACATTTCGCGCCAGTAATTACAACTGATGAAGAAAGTTGTAATTACTGGCGAAACGTCGTACTCTGATTGTAAATGTTGTGGCTTGGCTCTCCAACACACCGGTGTGCTGTACTAGTGACGAATTGGCACGTTCTGTTTATGTGACAAACCTTACTAGTTGGCTGTGTCGGGTGGTGGCGGGTTTAACGACACTTTTATATATTTACGCGCTCTAACCCAAAAAAAAACATGTATTTTGGATGATATTGGTAGCGAAAGCCTGTTAAATTGGTCGCTTTTCCGTGTGGAGTTCCTGTGTTCTCTCCTTTTTCTGCGTGGGTTCTTCGTTGTTTTTTTCCCCATAGCTAGAAAAAACACGCAGTGTAATTTGTGTTGGCCAAACATCCCACGGCACTACCCTGCTGATAGAGTCTTCGGACTCCCAAGTTACCGTCATGGGTAAATAAGTCGTGGTTGTTGAAAGGTGTAATGTCCAAAATAATCGTATTGCACGATGCAAGGTCAGACTGTGAATGAACAAATGCAATAATTAAACATCTGATAGTTACATCACCCATTCAACCTGCTCGTTTTTGCTGCAATCGCGACTTCGAGACAGGGGGTCGGCAGCCAGAAAAGTAGCCAATTTTTTTCGCATTCGGTAAAACAAAAAAAACAACTCAGTATTTCAAGAGCCACAATGCACTGCGTGGTGAACACGAGACGGTGGGTGCTTAATAAATAGCGTCACACGATAGCAGCAGTCCTTAAAGAGCCACCGCACGCGGCTCTGGAGCCACGGGTTGCCAAGCCCCGACTTAGGAGTAAGCCGAGACAATTGTACAAATCAAGTTCATTGTTTTTCCTTTGTATGTCTTGACAACGTGTATGTGTGTGTGTGTGCTATCGGTGCGGGTTAATGTGCAAACAATTTTTGAGGGCCGATGAGTGGTTTTTGGCCAGGCCACCATTTAAAAAAACACACACAAGTCTCTTGGCTCAATGTACCCTACCCGAAAATAAACCGACTTAGCAGAGCGATGTGCAGTTAAACGAATCTTCTTGGTCATCTTCATTCGTACTGCGAGCCAGGGCATATCACAACAACAAAAACAGAAGTGACACAACCAGTGCTGGATTAAGCTAGTGCGGGGCCTGTAGCATATGTTATACAGGGGCCCTAGACAAAAAACAACACGTAAAAATTAAAACACAATTTTTTTACCTGCATAGTAAAGTAATTGTATTTTTTTATTTGCTTTACAGCCAGATAATGCGACATATCGCTAGCCTTAAACACCCAGTCGTTCATAAAAGTTGAAGGCGGTATAGTACTATAGTAATAGAGCAAGTGCAGAATCACTGAACCGGAATTGATAGCTTGAAAGCATTTAGCGCGGGGCCCTTGAAAGTACGCGTCCCGTAGCATATGTAGTAGCTACATTTGCTACGAGGACAATCCGGCACTAGACACAACATCATTGCAATGCCAGGCGCAGTTACGTTGTGGGGGGCGGCGGACGGGTCAAACTGTCTTCCCCGTCGTGGAAACGTAAAATCGTCTGTGCGAATCGTCGCTAATAATTATGATTATATCG